ACTGGGTCTAGCACTCACACTGCAGTTGGCTCCATGGGACCTTAACTGTCAGGCCACCTGCTGGCCTTGCCACAGCGTTCTTCTCCCCTCATGTCCTAGTCGGAGGGCCAGCTATCCGTCCTGGGCACCTCTCCACAGGTTTACAGGTCATGGTGTAATAGAGCAAACTGTTCCTCCGAAACTCGCACCCGCCCAGAAGCTCTGAAGGTAAACGTATCTAGACACGGGGTCTTCACAGGTACAATGCGGTGAGCAGCCGGAGACCTGTCAGGCTGAACTCAGGTGGGCACGAGGGCCAATGGCTAGCGTCCTTATACGGAGAGGACAGGATGCAGGGGAGGCAGCCACGCGGAGGCCGTTGGCAGAGCTGGCACTTACTGTGGCCAGCCGAGGGCCAGGTCTCACTCTGAAAACTCAGCCCGCGTTTGCAGCTTGTCCTGGCCATCCCATAACCCAGCACCGTTGGTACCGTGTGCTGCTGTTACTCAGGATCGGGTATCTGTAGTCAGGCCGGTACTTTCCCTGGAAAGCACACGTCTGGCCGGGTGGAGCAGCCTCTCCGTCGGCGGTTCGTCTGCGGGTCTGTAAAGGCCTCCAGGCCCTCCCTGCGGCTGTGGGGCAGGCTGTCTTGTGAGGGGAACCCACAGTCTGGACAGTGGCAGAGCCCCTGCAGTGGCAGGGACCAGAGTCCAGTCCCAGGTGGAGGAGCACACCAAAGTGGTGGTGACCCCTCTCAGTCCGTGCAGAGGCTTTCAGGGGCCTGGGAAGGGCTGGCAGGTGTGTCATCTGCAAAGGCACTTCTCAGGGAAGAGGGGCCATGACTCTTGCCAGCTCTCAGAAGTGTCTGTGACCCAAACAAGAGTAAGAACCCCTGCTTTGTCCGTTGTACGTCAGTAAGCCTGGGGCGCGGGGATTAAAACCAACTCCTGGGACCAGCAGTTGGCATAATGGCTATGTCACTGGACTCCCATGTAGTTGACTACAGTTCGAGTCCTGGACCCGGTGGCTTAAACTCACGCCAGGCGCGTGTGTGTGCATGCCCAAGATCTTGAGAGGAGAATGGAGGAGAAGGGATTGCGGCATGGCCATCCCCTCTGGGGGTGATTTCTCGCTTTCTGTCTCTGTTTCTCTGGCGAGAGCACGTGCCCTATAGCAAAAACCTCTCTAAATAAATAAACGAACTCCTGCTTAAGGGATTTACTCTAGGGTAGGAGCCAGCAAGTGGCATGGTAGTTAAGGCACTGAACTCCCACACAGCTGACCATGGTTTGAGTCCCAGACCTGGCGGCTTGAAAATCAGGCCAGGCACTTGTGCATGTGTACCCAGAATTCCGAGAGAAGAATGGAGGGGAAGGAACTGCAGTGGGGCCATCCCCACAGGGGGTGACTTTTTACTTTCCCTCTGTCTCTCTCTGCCTGTCTGTGTCTGCCTCTCTCAGGCAAGGACACGCCATCTGTGGTCAAAAAGAAAGTTGAGGAGAGGAAAAGCACACATTGCCAGACTCAGCGCTGTGGTGCCCGGCAGTGCCACTACTTAGGAGGCTGGAAGCTGTGTGGGCGGCCCCCTGACACGCCTGACGCCACTGTGCATGTCTGTGATCCTGGCAGCAGTAGGACCGTGACACAGCAGACCCCGTCAGGAACTGTATCCCTCTGCCTAAACCGGAGCTAGGGAAAAGAACTGCAGACCTCGGTCTGCACGCGGCGGCACCGCAGTGGTCAGGTCACTGCATTCCCAGCACGCGCGGAGTGGCCAGCGGAGGCATGAGGCCACTCCAGGCAGCCTGCTGGCCTGGCCTCTGGGATGGGATAAGAACTTGCTAGGACGTACTGAGCCTATTTCCCGCTCAAACAGCTTCCTCACGATTCAGGAGGAGACCACACTTCCAGCCCTTCAAAGACGTTCCCAGCTTCCATCCACCGGCATCTAACGACAGTGCTTCCTTTCGCTCTCGGACGTGTTCCAGGCTGTGGGATGAGGTCTATGACCACCGATTTAAAAGGTTCAACAGCATGAAAATGTCTCAGGGTGGTTCCCCAGGGACCAGAGGGGACGACCGGTGGATGGGCAGGCATGGTCCCCAGGAGGGCTGCGTTCTGGTGACTCTGAGCAGGCTGGGGGATGAGCTCTATGACCACCGATTTAAAAGGTGCAACAGCATGAAAATGTCTCAGGTTGGTTCCCCAGGGACCAGAGGGGACAACCGGTGGGTGGGCAGGCATGGTCCCCAGGAGGGCTGCGTTCTGCTGACTCTGAGCTGCAGGGCCCGCGTGCCAGCAGCAGCCCAGGGCGGGGCTGAGATCGTGGTCTTTGTGGTCTGTTCTTGGGTCAGTCCACAGTGATGTGGTTGTTGGAAAAGAAACTGCAGAGCCGGGAGGTGGCAGCGGTAAAGCAACTGAGCCACAGGGGAAAGTCCCACCGAGGCACTCTGGGCATGCTGTGTGTGTGCATGCCCGTGGGTGGCCGGCTGA